ACATCATCTTTTTTTTCTAAAAGAATGTTTAGAATTGATTGTATTTCTTGAGGGTTAAAATGGTAATTTTGCTGTCATTCAGAAAACAATTACCAAACAACTTTGTTTCATTCAGCACTTAACCATTCTGACCCTCTTAGCCATTCTAACCTCTTAGCTATTCTGAACTAAATCATTCAGCAACTGCCAAACAGCCCCTTAGTCGTTTCAGTAGCATCTTCAGATTTTCCATCTGTGACCCCGATTGCTTTGATAAAACTTTTAGAATAATTAGGATCAATTTTGGTCCTAATAATCAGTAAATAATATTTAATTTGAGATTTTATAAAATTGGTAATTTGGGGTTTGCTCAAGCGAGATGTTACAAAGGTACAATGATCCATGGCTTATATTTCTCCTCATCTTCATCTCTTGAACTTTGTTCCTTCTCTGATGTTAATTGGGTTGGTGATATCACTGATTGTGGTTCTACTACCATTTATTGTTTCTTTCTAGGAGACTCTCTCATCTTCCGGCACAGTAAGAGATAATCTCTCACATCACACTCTAATACTGAAGCCGGTATCGTGCTCTTGCTAATACTACTCAAGTACTTGTATGGCTTCGATGGCTCCTAACTGATATGAGTGTTCCTCAATCATTACTAACAACTATATGGTGTGATAATGGAAGTGTATTCAAATTGCTCACAATGATGTGTTCCACGAACGTACCAAACATATTGAGATTGACTGTCACTTCACTCATCAATGTGTTGTCGCTAATACTACTTGTCTTCAAGCAATCAGCTCTATCAATCAGACGACTGATGTCTTTACCAAAACTCACTATCCAGAACAATTCTCTTCTCTTATCCTTAAACTCAACTTGGTCGTTCATCAACCACCTTGAGTTTGAGGGAGGGTGTTAGTATATATTTATAATTTTGTTTATATTTCATGGGCTAGTTTTGTCATTGGTGTGCAGTTGAGATAGGCATTACATACCTCTTGTTTCCCTGTATTGTAATCTCACGTCGATTATAAGAGAAACCCTAACATTATTTTATATCAATGGCTTCCTTAAATCGATTGTTTCTATCAAGATCGACTAGGGAGCAACGCTTGTCAAAAGAAAAACAAATGTGAGTGAGGTATTATTCCTATGGGTAGAGATAGATACAAGTAGGATACGAGATAAGAATTTGCAAAGGAGTAGGATACAAAACCTTGAGATACGTTAATTTATAATTTGGTTGCAAAAATATACGTCTTAAACACCTGTATTTATAATTTTGGTTAAATGTAATGTTTAGATTAATAAATAGTATGAATAGCATGGTTATTTAAATACTATGTTAAGGGCATTAAGAGGTTGTTTGGTTGGTCTTTTATCAAGTTATGTATGAATAAAGTTGTTTGTGTAAATCAATCTGCCTGTACAAATTGAAAATCAATTTGTTTGAAAGAATTTGGACTGTGTTTTTTTAGTTAGGATAGGACATGTTCCAAAAAACTTAACTTACTGAATATTAATCAATTTTTATATCAAACAACCATTACTTGTCAAAAAGTGATGGATAGCGAGTAATGACCAAAAATCGGTCCCAGGCCGGTCCCAAGATTTCTCATAACCGGCTATAACCGGTCCTGGCGTAACTGGTCCCGGTCGAATAGATGAAGACCGGTCAGGCTAGTTTATAACCGTTATGGGGCGCCGGCCCCGGTCCCAACCGGTCCCACCCTTAAAAAAATTTTAATTTTTTAATGATATATATTTTTAATACATTATTAAATTTGTCGTACGGGTCACTTAAATACACTTTAAAAATACGTTTCATTACGAGAATTATGAACATTTTTTGCGTTTTTTACGAATTGAGAACTTGGTATGTAAACCTCTCAACCTTGTTACATATTTATAGTGTTTAGAGGCCAAAAAATACAAAAAAGACGGTCAAAAACGGCTATATTTAAAAGAAATGTCATTTTTTAATATTTCGGGTTGGGCCAAAACCGGTCTCGGTCCCACAAATCCGACAAAAACCATAACCGGATGTAACCGGCAGTCCCATGACCGGTCCTCACCGGTCTTTGGCCGGTCCCGCTTCCAGTCCTCCGTTGGTCACGGGCTGGGCCGGGCCGGTTTGGTCATCACTAAATTATAGCTAATAAGTAGCTACAAGAGTTGAAAGACCCATGGATGAAGCCCATCGATAAAGCCCAATAGGAAATCTATGGGCTAAAACACGAGTAATACCCGAATGTGAATTTGATTGAGACGTTGACAATTCGGGAGCCAGTGACAGTGGGACTACGTGTGTGTGACTGAAAGGAGCTTCGGATCCACTTCCTTTCACCGGTGTCTCTGTCTCCACAGCGGCCGTGGCGGTGGAGGTAGCGGCGGTGGAATAGTTTACTTTTCGATTCTAAAAAAGTGTCATGGCGTATAGGAGAAGGCAAGGATTTGCCAAGGATTTAACGTTGAGAGAAGAAATTGCAATACGTAACCCTAATTCAAATAGGCCTAACGATCCTTCATCTCCGGCGGAAGACGGTTCAATATCGTCTTCCAATCCTGCGGCAGCTACACAGTCACTCGCTGCCCAAGCGATCAGAGCATCCTCTGCTCACCGCGACTCTTCTCTCTCTTCGGCTTACGGTCAATCCGCTATTTCACCCAGACAAGCAAAGTCCAATCCTGCTCGATCTTCTTATAAATCTTCTGTCAAGGTACTACTTTCCCTGTACAAGTTATGTTTGTGTACATAACTACATATTATTTATATAGTGTCGTCTGTGTGTGAAAGCTTGGTTATTTTTCTGGTATACATGTGAAAATTTTCTGTTGGGAAGTTGTGCTTTGGAGTTGTGGTTGTGTTTTATTTTGTTCTACCTCTGATCTGATAGATTTGTTCACGGAGATGCTCTCTTCTGTATAAGAAGGTAACAGGTAGGTACTCTTTTACTTTCTAATGCTAAATGGTATTCTTTTCAAACTTCACAATTGATGGTGGATTTTAAATTCTTTAGGGGAAGTTAATAAGTTACTACGCATCTTAGCATTTTTGTAACTAGTGCGACAACTAGAATAACAGTGTTTAAGTTGCATAAATCTTTATCTTATATGTGCACTCAAAGAGTGCTAGGTTAGTCATAAAACGGTAAAGTTTGTATCTTTTGATGGAATGGGGAGGACCATATTTGACATAATTGATTGGCATTCTGTCTGCTTCTTTGCTATAAGCAGAGTTGCTTTTTTGAAGTTTAACAATCATAATAACAGTGCAGTGGCCACCTATGTCGATGTAAACTGGACTGTGTACATATATATCCATACAACTACACAAACACAATAGTAAAAACCTTTAACCAACATTGTGTTGCCTGATCCTTGACATTTTCAGTCTATTTACAGTCAGAATATGAGAATGCAAAAAACATGAAAGCAAAAGGGGTATCCCAAAGTTTCTGGATCTGTAATTTTCATGTGTTCCTCAAATATTAAAGAAGGCTATGTATTAACAATAGATGCATCTTCCCCTTTGCTGCAAAACGCACATCATGATTTGAAAACACCAATGTAGACCAATGTAAATGGAAGTTGCATAAATTGAATCATGATACTTTTTGGAATTTATGGGGTTCAGAGAATCCAAAATCAACATCAAATGACCTATTATTCATTTGCTACAATATTTTCAAGTTGAACCAAGATTTCTGTGATTTAAGAAAGTTGTCAAACAACAATGTAAAGTCTGGCGCTTGTAATAGAACAATTGAAGTGAACTCAAAGCATAAAACTTTAATGTCATTTTTGTGGAAAGCCTAGAATTCTATTCGAATTAACACAAATGTAACTAGAAAGACTTCGATTTTATAATAAGATTTGATGTAAACTAGAGCAATAAAATTCTGGCCTAAATCTACAGTGGATGATTTGATGATAAGTTCGAACAGTGATATGTCGAAGCAATGAATAAAATGCTGAGAATTACAAGAGGGACGGCCATTCAGTGGTGATTTATAATTCATTGCACTGGTGAACTATTAGTCCAGGCTGGAATAGATTGTCTTGAAGGCAAAGGCATCCTCATGAAAGCTAGAGCACAACTAGAATGAGAGAAAACAATCAAAGATGGTTAAAGTGCTTTCTTTTTATGGGTCTAAAAAGGAAGTTGATAACATTGACTACCTTGGATACTTCTGGAAGAATCATCAGCCTGGCGCTTTCACTTGATGCAGGGTTTCGGCTTCTACAGATACTTTGATATTTGCAGAGGTTGTCTAAGTAAATGTTGTGTTGTTGATAGTGGAGAACAGAAGGGACTGTTTGCTACAAGATACATTACATCTCTGATAGCATGTGCTATCCTTATGAAGTTGGTACTTTACAAATGTGCTCACCATCATATGAGGCACTGATCTAGTTGAAGCATAAAAACATGTAACAAGTTGTCAAGCTACACATATGTCAAAGAAATTGAAACAAGAAGATTTACTAGCTGTTTTTTGAGGGAAGAAAGCGATAACTAGATATTTCTAAAAAGCACAGTGCTGCAATCGAAGGCATACACTAACCAAAGGGGGGCTCGGGTAGCTCCAATTGATCATATACTTTCTTTACTCAAGCAAAATGATCCTTGTACTTCTATTTTCTACTTCCTCTCTATTGCCATTTGTTTGTTATCTCTACATTGCTGTTTGGAGAGTGCAATTATATGAGCTTGATGTCAAATTGTACTTGCTGTTGTCCTTTAGTAATTATATGTGAGAACATATGTTGCATAAGTAATCCTGTAGTTCCCTTAGCAGATGGTTACTCGTGGTTGTAGGATGATTCAACCAGGTATGATTATGCATCGATGAAGAACTTGGATGAACCTAAACGGGGATTTTGGGGCGCTCTTGCTAGAAAAGCCAGGGCCATCATTGAGGATGATGATGTGGCCCAACAGTATGAAACACCTGAAAGGAGGAGACAACAGATGTCTGATACAGAAGCAAAGGGCCAGGTAATAGTTAAAGATGATAGTTATTTTTTTTGGGAAGGGGGGCATGGATACCTAAGTATTGGTGTAACTGAATTGGTTTTAGGCTTGGGGATATTTATTTATTATTATAACTGAAAACTATGTGTGGCTTCTGTGGGCTTGGGTTATAAATTGATTTCTTCAAGTATGAATAACCATTACTTGTTCAACATCATTTTCTAGTATCCTCTATAATGACCAAAATGTAAAATGCTCGGAGGCTAGAATTAAAGAACATGAACCTTATAGCTAGTCTTGTCTTTTGTTATATACAGTATTCTAGTCCATATCAGTTGCCAGAAAATCGTCAAAAGGCAGATAATCCTGCACTGCAGAAGGGGATAGATGCAATTGCGTCATCTCTCAATTACATTGGTGGCACCATTGGTAATGCTCTTGAGGTAAGCTTCTGCTGTATTCATTTATGAATTAAATAAGTTGAAAGAGAATGTTGTTCTGAGTATTAATTATACTCTTGAGTGGCTAGTAAATTGGATTACCTTATGAAAAAATTAATTATTGGAGAAGCTTCCAGTTTTGACCAACAAGGTTAAAAGCCGGTGTCTGTTCTAAAAACAACTGATACAATTTCAAGAAAGAATTTAATGGCTTTTACTTGAGATTTTTCTAAAGTTAGTCTCACAGGAGGGCATGACAGTTGTGGAGAATCGAACTGCAGACATCATTCAGGAAACACGCAAACTTCATATTAAGAAAAAGTCTGAGAAAAATCCAGCTTCAAATGTTGGGAGTACAAGGGAATCATTACAAATGCATACCCATAATACTCAACCCCAGAAGCAGACTGATACAGAAATTCAACTGAAGGCCTCTCGCGACGTAAGGTGGCAGATGTGTATTACTGGTTCATAATATGATATCTATATATCTTGCATGTGTAGGTTTATACAACCCTTGACATTTGTGCAACCAATACAACCCAATCTCAACCATCCATTTCATTTGATTAATATGTGATTTCATAGAAGTTTTGATTGTTTTCTAATATAAAGTATTAATCATAATTAATTAACCATATTCATCTTCCATAAATATTTAAATCATAATAAATGAACTCTCATCATTTCTATAAATATCTCAATTTGTTGGGTAGCATTGGTTGTACAAATGCAATGGGTTGTATTTGAAACAAACTATATATATATATATATATATATATATATATATATGGCTATCATGTCCTAGAGAATAGATGTATAACGTAATTGGTTGCTGTAGCTGCTAAGTTTAGAAAAGCAAATCATGATCACATTAACGAAATCGTGGAATGTAACCCTTTCTATTAATCCATGAGATGTATGATATGCGTTTTGATTTGCTTAACAGGTTTCAATGGCGATGGCAGCCAAAGCAAAGGTTCTACTTCGGGAGCTGAAGACGGTTAAGGCTGATCTTGCTTTTGCAAAGGAGCGTTGTGCTCAGTTAGAAGAAGAAAATAGAGTCCTCAGGGAGACTGGTCGAGATGGGGACCGCCCTGAAGATGATGATTTGGTATGTATTTGATTTTATCTACTAAAATCCCATGACCTTTTTAGCATTTTGTTGTTACATATATGCTAGAAATGCATAATTCAATTGCTAAGAAGATGAATTTTAAACTTGCGTATGTTTTTTCACCATAATAACTATAACAGTTTCTTTCTTCAACCAAGATTATATACTTTTAAGAATAAATTATGTGTTTGGTCCCTGTGCTTTAGCACTTGTTACTACTAAGGTCCTTAAACCGCAATTTGTCACAAAACAAGTCCCTCCCTCTTAACTGTTTCTGTTAACTGGTGGGGCATTTTTGTTATTTCTCATACTTGGATGAAGAATTTTGTTGTTTTGTTTACATGGCAGATTCGACTCCAACTGGAATCGCTTTTAGCAGAGAAAGCCCGGTTGGCACAGGAGAACTCAGTTTATGCTCGGGAGAACCGATTTCTCAGGGAGATAGTGGAATACCACCAACTTACAATGCAGGATGTCGTTTACATAGACGAGAGCAAAGAAGAGGTATCGGAAGTATACCCCGTGAAGAGTTTCACAACAAACAGTAATATTGTAACACCAACGAACACGAACCCACATGTAATTGGAGATATCTCATCTCCACCTGTTACACCCACAAGTCCGTTTCTCGACCAACACAAGATGTGAATTGTTGTTCTTTTTTGCCTCGATACATTATTCTGTTCTTGTAAACATTATTTTGTGGAGCATATTTTTATATGTGGTAAATGTAATTTTTTAAATTGTGTATTTCTGATGGTATGTGTTATATTTTGATTGCCTCATAGTAAAACACCGTATGGAGGAAACCTTGATTAGCATTTAGTTAGAAATTTATTCTGGAATTCCGATTTGTTTGTATACTTGAATTGAAACTTTTGCAGAAAGAGATAAGTTGAGTCATACATACATACACGCTCATGTATCCAAGATCAAAAAATGTATTCAAATTCAGGTTAACGCCCAGGAGCAATAGCAAAGGTTGATTTTGATGAGCATCGGGGGGCTGTACATGATCCAGTCGGTGTTTAGTATCAAAAGAACTGGAAAAAGAGACTTGTAGATCCATCGCTATATGATTTGATGTCTGCTGGCTTCACAACTGCTCTACATAACGGGCATGTCCTCTCCCGATCAAACCTGCAACAACCCAACCTATACATAAAATACAACTTCTCCAAGATCCACAATATGACTTCCATGGATATGTATTTGTTCTTGATATGATGATTACCACTACAATTTGTTTGAGACGCGTTAAAGGTTTACATAATCTAGCTTAAATGAGCGTCTTATATGCTATGTAGTGACATATACCACAAGGGTGGTGCCTGATTGGTTTGAGTTTGGCTCCAAAGGTCAAAAGTACCAGGAGGTCCCAGGTTCAAATCCAGGGAGGAATAAAAATCCACTTGTGGCCACGGAGGTTCAAATGCGGGGACTCCGGGCTATCTGCAAAGCAGGTGGTCGCCCTGGGATTAGTCGGCTCGCATAGTGGGTTGGATATCCAGGTTAATAAAAAAAAAATAGAAGAGTACGTTCTAGAACTTTTGTATTGAATTTTATTTTTGATGATCAAATGCATTTGTTAAAGATCTTTATAATACTTGTTGAGGCCCTTTTTCTCACAATGATGTAAGGATCGCGCCAGTTGACCACCGTTACCTAAAATACTACTTGGATTGAGCCAAAATATCAATGGGTAGGCCTGTAAATCAATGATAGAAGGGAGACTACTGAAAGGAAGAAGGAAAGAAACAAAGTGACTGACCATTCTGATACACATTCTTCGCAAAATATGTGTTTACACCGTAGCACGATCGGAGAGTGCATTTTTTCTTGACAAATGGCACAAAGATCTCCAGCAGCACTCACCTGAATGAATCAATGTCTTGTTACAAAGGTTATGAAATGACAACTAAGTCATCAAATCCAAAAAGTTCATGCTAACCTGCTCAGTAGATGCAGATGACCCATAATGCACCTCTTTGCAAGACAACGCCCTTAAAGCAGCAAACACCAAACGAACCTACACAAAAATACCCTCCAACTTCGATAACAAACAACTGTCCCATATGTCTTTCAGAAAATTTATCAACCTGGATATGTATACCTTCTGTATGACCGATGTAAGCTTGAAAGTTAAGTACAATCCTGCTGTAACTGATGAAAAGATACTTCCATATTCTTTGTTCAGAAAGAACCGATACCAAACAGGGGTAGGCAACAAAGTACGGTACAGCAGTAGCATGTACTCAACCAGAGTTAGCATTTGACCCTACAAAAGCGTATCCTTGAGTTATCTTCCGGAAGAATAGACTCAGAAAGCATGAAACAGAACCAAAATGTTCTTTTGAACTATTCAAAATCAAGCACTAAGAACTAATTAACACGCGTCATATGAGCTACCTGTTTCCGATAATTATGACCTCCAGTGTTCTTGTAGTACATTAAAAGTAGACACTTGAAGACCATTCCCGCTTGCCGTGCCATAGAATCTGAGGTGAACAAAATATTAGGCTATAATCATCTTGGACATTTAAAATTTCCATTTTGTGGGTTTCATTTACTTGTAGGAGTGGAGATGGGATCCATAAAAAAGGAGAATGGAAGAAAACGGTAAACAAACGGAAAAGGAGTCCATTTTGTGCCTCCTGAGCTTGTTCAAGTGGTTGTAAGTTGTAATTCACTCAGGCTCTAAGTTTGAATCTCACATTTGTGTACTGCCTAATGAATTCCATGGATGCGTTCAGTTACACACCCTATCGAAAAGAGCGCACATTTTGCAAAGTTTGCAAAGATTAAAGATACATCTCATTGAGTGTAAACTGGAGGACTTCCATCAATTCACTCATAGGATTACAAAACTAAACAGAAATGACAAACTCAACTCTGATTGTGGCACAAAGGATGTATATATCAGTGGTATGGTGATCATTTCAAATTGTTTTGGGCTTAGCAATGAAAATCATATATCACATCATATATTGCTATCCATGGAAGCATTCAGAAACTTGGTTACTGGAAACCGTTAAAATACAAAGTACTTACCATTAACCAAGATGATGAACAAAGCATGCCAGAATGGTGGGACTGACTTTGGAGGAAGCAAAACCAATGGATGCATAAGATCATCATTTTGATACCACCAGTAAATAAAAACCACATGGAGCATAAAGATCACAGTGATGCTGATAAGAACAAATGATTTCCTCTCTCCCTGCAGAAAATGATATTTAAAGATGCTTAGTGGCAAGAATAATGAAGAAACAGAAACTAGCTTCCATGGAAGAGAAGACTTCCAAATTCAACCATACCTTCAAAGCAGTTTGCTTTTGCAGAATGTCATTTGATTTAAATAGGACCGCAGAAATCCAAATGGTCCCAAAAAACCCTGAAAGAGGCAGCATATACATATGTTAGTATTCCATATATGATACTAGCTTGCCTTACCAAACAACAAATGAACATCCAGTTTTTGCTACTTCATCATGTTAAGAAATCCAGCAGGGTTTGTGCTACCCTCCAGAGTGCCCCCACCGTACGTGTCCCACAGTCATCATGGGGGAATTAAATTGTGGTGTCCTAAGGCAGGGTGAAGTGAGCATTTCCGAGAAGAGGCCCTTGATGCACCAGAACTCCGAAGGTTTGTAGAATAATCCAGAAATTCTACATCTCCCTTGTATCTTACAGAATTACCTATAACGTTACAGAGTACTCTTTGACGCAGTGAATCGGGTTGTAGAATCTAGAAAGTTCCTCTTGACTAGGATATTCATGTAATTTTGAATGTACAAAAACAGTTTCGAATAAGCTCTCTAGGAGTTGGCCCTTGTACATGTTTCTACAATGTTAGCAACCAGCATTTTTTTCTTGTCTTTCCTCTGCAGCCTCTTCATAATCATACCTCCCATAATGAATTTCATCTCTTTGATGGGAATGATAATGGTCTTTTGGGGGGCAAATTGCATGAAAATGCAAATGTATTTGAGTCATTCCAATTTGGCATAACGTACTTTTAAAGCCTTCATTTTGGTAACTCAGATGTGACATCTCACACATTTAGGTACCTAATTTACATTTCAGAATGCATGAAAATGCAAAAACTTTGGTCTATTCCATTTTTGTGTAATATACTTTGGTTTAAATGTTTGAGATATCACATCTTCAGTACCAAAATGAAGGTTTTGAAAGTACATTACAGAAAATAGAATTCATACCATAGTAAGTTGTATTTTCATTTAATTTGGCCTTCTAGAAGTTACTTTAGCACTTGCCCAAAACGAGGGTTTAGCCTATCGACAATGTCGGAATTGGGTTATATTATGTGTTTATTGATATGTACATTCTATATTGATAGAATATTATAGTGAAAGATGTCTATATTAACATCATGATAGAAAAAGAGATGCTGGCATGCTGCATATGGACTTCAAATAGGTTATAAAGCACCTTTTTTTACACCATCTCACAAACACAAGGACTCAATCTTATGGATATATAAGCCACAAGGTTTCCAATTCAGGCAAGAAAAGGAAGGAAACCAACACCTCATTTGATTAGTTTCGCCAAGCTCGTTATTACATCTAGCTCCAAAAACGATCGGACAAATGGCATATACAATAGTAGAATCCTTAAGAGTAGAAGCTATATAGTTGGTTCTCATCCTTCAACGATTATAAGTGTAATAGGAGGCTAGGAGCATCTGTCAACAAAAGGATTGCCCTAAGATATAATCACATGGTTATAGAAAAAAAAAATCTTTTAGCTATCTCGTTCTAGTTCTTTCACCAAGTCCCCCTTTCATGCTGACCCACCACTCACAAAAGTAAAGAAATCTGAGTGCTAACTGCTAAGGCCACATGGTTGGTTAAAGGCAAACGAAAGAGCTGTTTATGCTACATTGGCTTCAATAAACTTTGGAATAAAATCAGAGTCATTACTACTAACAATCACCAAAATTTCAAAAGAAAACCAAAAGGCAGCAAATTTATATTGGACGCAACACTAAACAATCACACACAAACTACAAGTCTATTACAAACATATGACAAATCAACAAAGAGAAGTAAAATTACCTTGTAAATGTTGGCGTATTAAAACAACCAAGAGAAGCAAAGAGAAAGGGAGAATCTGCTCAATCCATTGTGCCACATTTTGAATATCATATCGATTATTAGTTGCAGAAGGTGAAGGGATCTGGCCATCAACTCCATTAACACCAACCCCACTCCTTAACTCTTCTGCTCTTCTCCCACTAAAGTTATCTATTTGTTCCTCACCATTACCAACGGTCCCACCACCATCCACCACCACATTAGGCGGCAACTCTTCCTCCACGGCACCCATAATCCTAATAGAAACTTCCTCCGCTCCGTTAACTACACCACCGCGGTCGCGATACTGGACCAACCCATCCTCAATTGCATTTTCATGCTGCATCTCGAGATCAGAACTGGAAATTGATTGTGACCGGGTGTGCAAAACGCCCGAATGCTCCAAAAAAGCCAACAGTGGTGCCCGAATTATTTCGCGTAACCTGAACCTTAAACCACTTCTACTGCTATTTGAAGATAAAATACTTGCAGAAGGAGGCTCCATTTCTAGGTTCCAATTACCAAAGAGGATATAACCAGCAAAAAATCACAAAAAAAACCCTAATTTTGACCAGAATGATAAACGAGCTTGGAGGGCACGTCAAACCCTCCTCAAGAACCAAAATATAAGTCAATGAAAGTAACAACAAAAGACATCAAACACACATATCATGCTACTATGTACCCTCAACTGCTTCTGCAATTCACAGAAACTATGAAGGTGTGTTCTGAAAGCAAATTTTGATAAGAAGTAATGAAATTGCGTTCTGAAATTGGGGGAAAGGTGGAGCGAGGATTAGCTGAAGTGGGTTATCTCAGAAGGATTTTGCGTATAGAGCTGAAAGATAGAAAAGGTGAGTTTGGAGTGTGGATTTTCACTTGGTTATCGTCGGGGGTAGTGGTTGCGAACAAGTAGTCCTCTTTCTTTCTCCCAATCGCAGAGCGCGCGCCATTTCCAACTTCCTCTCCTCTCCTCTCTTTTACCCCAAACTATATAACATTTACAATGAAAAATATAAAAAGATATATTTATCATAGATTAATCTTAATTGAATGTAAATACTAACGAGTTGTATCAAAATATACTGGATTAATTCTTTTCTAAATAGGCATGGCAACGGGGTGAGGATGGGGCGGGTTTTGTAATCCCCGGCCCCGGTTTGAAGTAACATCCCCCGGCCCGGTCCCTGGCGGGTACGGGAATTAACATCTATTCCCCGGTCAAACATATGACAATCCCTAGTCAAACCCCATAAAGAATATCCTTTCATTTGATTCTACCGGGGATCCCCGGTCCCGGTTTGAGTAGCATCCCCCGACCACGGCCCCGTCCCCAATTTGAGTCTATCGGGGATCCCCGACCTCGGGACCCGTTTTAGCGGGGAATCCCCATCTCCATTCGGATCGGGGTGAACCGGGTTCCCCACCAGGTCGGGTCAAATCATCATCCCTATTTCTAAAGTGTAATTTATGGGTGGATATGAGATTAAAAGTGATCAGGGTTCAAATTTCTTTTTATGCTTCTCACATTAACTCTTTTTCTCATACGTACGCTAAATAAAACTAACATATATTTATCTTTGGTGAGGTTGTAATAGCATTAGGCTAACTGTCCTTTGATAGAACATTTCTAACAAATTTTTTGAACAAGAGAACAAAAAGATTTTAGATAAATTTTTGGTTCAAGAGATTCTCAAAAATAGAAAATTAATGAGAGACAGTACAATTCTGTAAATTTGGAGAAACTCCAGAAAGTGATTACTATGAGAGAGAATTTTCATTATGAAAGTTAAAAAAAAACCCAACCAACTTTTTCATTTTGAATGGTTTAGTATTCTTTTTTTAATAAAAAAACATTAAACTTTTAATCGTTTTTGAGACCAGTAAATAATAAGTTTTAACTGTCTCAAATCACAATATTAATTGTATAGTGGTAAATCAGGTCGAATCGGTAGAGATTGGTCGTGACGATTATTCCATTCCTATGCTTTAAGTAAGGGGTGGATTTGATTAAATAAACTAAACGTATGGTAAAAACAATAAAATTAAAAAGCCCAACAATAGTTTCACCTTCGGTATGATGCAAAATGTTTATCGATTCCTATGGTGGTGCAAAAGAAATGACAAATCTTAAGTTATGGTTGTCAACAAGCTCTTTGGTTAGATCTTAACAACAAATAAGGTTTTAAACAAGCTCTTAAATCCCCAGGTATGATTAGCATTAATGAATTAAGAAATTCACCGATTCAAAGTAATAAGCTCACAAGTTTGGCTTATTAAAGCTTTGATTGCAAGAATTCACGGTATAGGTTTGAAAACCTTATTGAAATCAAACATATCGTTTGTCACTTTATCAAAATCCCCAAACAATTACGGATTTAGGGTTTTAGATGACTTTTCATCAAATGGGTATTAATCAATCAAATAAATAAAAAAAACCAAAAGATAATGACATTCATTCACAATTCAAGCAATAAACTTGTTCAAACATCTTTAAATATGAATCTCTAAATCAAATGCATCAAAATCAAATGTCACACTAGGGATGCTCAAAAACTCGACCAATCCGATCAACCCAATGCGAAATAACTCAACTCGAAGCAACTCGATGTCTAATTGAGTTGTAGAATCGTCAAACCGTGTGTATTGGGTTGATACTGGGTTACTTCTATTTGAACTCAACCCAATTCGATAAGCCCGATATCATTTTATTTCTTGTATTTAATATGATTGTTGAGTGTCTATTAATATGTACATTAGACAATTACACCATCGCCTATCATCCTCATATATATATATATATATATATATATATATGTTTTCAATCTATTTTCCATCTCTATATAACTCATTTGTATATATATTCAGCAACTGTGAACATATATATGCAAATTGAGAAAATTAATTGAATGCAATGTACTTAAGATTTAAGAAGTATGGATAAGTTGTATCAAATTGTTGATGATGAAAAAGAAATACGAGTAGACTAGAGAAAAATAACATATTCAAAGTTAGGAGAATATTTTAATATACCAAAGTATCAACCCGACTAACCCGTACGAGTTGGGTTGGGTTGCACTTTGGTTTGGGTTAGGTTGCACTTTAGTTTGGGTTGGGTAGAGTTGAGATTTTTGAATCGCAAGCATTGAGTTAGGTTGTTCAAATGCCTTCAGCACGATCAACCCAAACCACCCCTATGCTACACTATTGTGGAATGAAGAAACTAAGTACTTACATAAATAAGCAAGAAGAAAATGATAAAAAAAAAGATTCAAAATCCCCTTCTTTGCTCTAGAAATTTTCCCTAGGTCTTCTTTCCTCTCAAATGGTGGCTTCAAACCTAATTTATATCAAGAAAATGGAAAAATCGCTCAAGATTCAATAATTGATGAAACTGGTCCCTACAATGAATTATGCAACCCTGACATGCGACCCTTGCATGCCAGGGTAACATTTTGTATATCGTAAGTCCATACCCCAACTGTGCACGACCCTTGTCTGCGACCCTTGTATGGCAGGGTGATATGTTAGGTAGCATTTACCACTTGTTTCGTACAACCTCGTAAGCGTGCCAACCATTTTTCCTTGCGTTTTCTCTACTATATCAACCTATAATGTGTAAATGCGCCGTCTGACATGGCTAAGGATGAAAGATGCCACAATTAAGTTCAAATAATTCTAAGTCAATCCCTTGGGTAAAACAGAGTGTTAAATATAATTTACCAAAACATAATTATATAACCACAAAAGGTATAATAACTATGTGTACTAAATATAGTCCCAAAATACAAGTATATATATCATTTACATTAATCATCAAAAGCTTAACAAAAGTAGATCATAATGATCATCTTCAATCATGTCATCTTCATAGCTCTCATTCCAAAGTCCCTACTAAGTCATTTACCTTTTGAATAATTTTGAACTCTTTTTCTTCTTTTTGTTGGATTGTTGCAGAGAGTAACATACATTTAAACATTCAAGTTCCAATTGCACTCACTAGATACATTTTTCAGATAATAGCTCCAAGTCTAATAACATGTATGCCAATGTGATCCTAGAATAGATAACCATATTACATACTACTAAACACGTGGATGGAGGGATCCAAATCTACATGGTTCCCAAACTCTAGTTCTAGTCGATTATTTTATATATTAACCCCTAATCCAAGTCCAAACTAACTTAAAGGTCCAACCCCATTGGCACATTCAATCACTGAGACTCGGCAGACAACAACAACCACCAATTCCGATCCATCATCCAGTCCAACAACCAGCGATCCAACAATTTGTTTCTCGGCTTCTCCATCGCAAATCGCAAGATGTAAATAGTTTGGGTGATCGATTCGAACGAGGTGTCAAGTGTAACCGAAGCATCAAACGGAATGGGATCTTATTGAGCATGTAGATGAAGATGAAACTCCAATATATTATTCATGGGTTCTTCAAAATAAAACATGCTAGTTCTTCTTCTCAATCTCAAGATACCGAAGAAACAACAAATTTAGATAATACCCCTGCATTGCATCTAGTGTTCCTGCTACCAAAAACCCTTGCAAAAAAGCTAAAATGGAAAGTAATGATATTGATCTTAGTACACTAGAACAAGACCCTGGTTTGCGTTCTCAAGTTTATGGTTATCCTATCAATTAACAAGATACAATTCAATGACCTTATATGAATCTTGGTCCTCTTCAACCAACACTTTATATCTTTCCAAAATATGGACCTGTAACTCGTAAATGTAGCTTTCAAGCTTCTTGATTTAAGTTATATCCTTGGATAGAATATTCAAAGTCTCTGGATGAAACATTTTGATTCCGATGTTTTTTATTTAATAAGCCATCTGGACTCGGATACCATAGTTAACATGCATTTACCATAGATGGGTTTCAAAATTGGAAAAAAGTGGGTGGGAAAAAATATTTGTCAGGTTTTGCTCAAAATTGTTGAGGAAGAAACTGGTTCAATCATAGGAGATGCAGATTCGTCATATGAGGCTATGAATGAGTTCATATTTGTCTTGCATCTAGACAAAATAAATATTTACTTTGTCAAGTTTTACAAAGGCAAGATCAAGATATTTTTAACGCATTGAGGTTAGTTGCATCCACTAATATGTTATTGCAACTAATAAAAGATGAAAGTTGGGATGCTTGGCTTTGCCTTGTTACGTCGTCATTTTGTCAGGTACATAACATAATGATCATACACTCAAACATCGTTATTAAGTAAATCTTCCTAACTTGTCTTCTTCTCGACTTGTTTTCTTGTCAAGTATGCAACATAGATATTCCCGACTTGTCTTCTTTCTACTTTAGCGTAGCTCATAATAAGCATAGTGATCATACACCTGAGCATCATTACCGAGTGGATATTTTTTATCCAACATTTAATTGTCAATTAATAGAATTAGATCATCGTTTTAGTGATAGTTTTATGGAGATGTTTCGTCTTGCTTCAACTTTAGATCCCGAAAATGCACGCTTCCATGCGTATGAGATTCAGAAGTCTTGATGTATGACAACTAGTAGAGAAGTTCTATCCTGAAGATGCTAGTGATCATGAGAATATGGTCCTGAAAATACAACTTCAGCATTATGCTATTGATATTGTTCAACATATAGATTACAAGCAATTGACATCTATTGCAGAATTGTGTCAATGGTTGGCAAGGACTAGAAAATCAACCAATTTTGATCTTATTTATCGATTAATAAGTCTATTACTTACTCTCCCAGTTTCTACCGTGACAACCGAGAGATCATTTTCCGCAATCAATATTGTGAAAACAAAGATACGAAATAAAATGGATGATGAGTTTCAAAACGACTCGATGCTTTTGTTTATCGAAGGGAAGTTGCTGAAAAAATTAGTTTGGAGGAAATTGTGGAAGACTTCAAGGCTGCGAAAGTTCGATGGGTTCCTCTTTGATTAGCGATGTTTGACATGT